GGTTACTATTAGCTATGGTGGACAGTTATTGGTTACTGTTAGCTATGGTGGACAGTTATTGGTTACTGTTAGCTATGGTGGACAGTTATTGGTTACTGTTAGCTAAAAGGGCAAAAATGTTTGATGGGAGGAGGATTCAAACCCACGACCCCCAGATTGCAAGTCAACTGCCCTAACTGCCCAGGCCTAAATGTACCTGAAGGGAGAGAGTACCACATATTCTTAAAGTATAAATATACTTTCCACACTTGGAGACATAATGTTGTTTCTGAAGTTTTCACAGCAAGTCCTATGTAAGTCATCATAATACAACTAGAAAATCAAAAACACAAAAGGATGAATGTGCTTCAGAACTTTACAATTATTAAGAAAACTATTATGTACTGTTTATGTGGGTTGATTATACTTGTCAAGATAGTGTATTTAGTAATGTTGAAGCTAATATGATGTTGATTACATCTTTCCAGAAAGCCAGCCGAGAAAGGACACTTATAACGTGATTTTCAACAACTGTGAACACTTTGCTTCATACTGCCGCTACGGAATAGGATTTTCCAAACAAGTTGATGACATAAAGCAAAATGTTTTGATAGTGGGAGTAACAGTACTTACAGGTTTAGTTTTGGGAAAAGCACTGTCTGTAATCACTGATCATACTGATCGGAGATCCCAGTGAAAGACTAACTTTCTAACCTTAATTAGGTTTTGATTCTGTTGTTCCCTCTATTATTATTAAGTGAATATAAAGAATTTTAGTATTATTATAACGGAGGTAGTTAAATTTTGTCCTAGTTGTCTGAGTTCTTCCTTGTCTAAACATCTTGGACTTGTGACATTTTCCAGGAAGGCTGAAAGTTAATATATGTCAATGTATTTAACAATCGATTACTGTGGTAACATAGTTTTTGTACAGGTATGCTGATTCCATTTTCTCATGATATCCATATGACCATTTTCTTCAATAATGTTTTCTACCCTGTGTTTTAGTGATAACTATACATTTGACCTTTGTTCTTGTTTTCTACCCTGTGTTTTAGTGACAACTATACATTTGACCTTAGCTGATGTTTTCTACCCTGTGTTTTAGTGACAACTATACATTTGACCTTTGTTCTTGTTTTCTACCCTGTGTTTTAGTGACAACTATACATTTGACCTTTGTTCTTGTTTTCTACCCTGTGTTTTAGTGACAACTATACATTTGACCTTTGTTCTTGTTTTCTACCCTGTGTTTTAGTGACAACCATACATTTGACCTTTGCTAATATTTTCTACCCTGTGTTTTAGTGATAACTATACATTTGACCTTTGTTATTGTTTTCTACCCTCTGTTTTAGTGACAACTATACAATTGACCTTAGCTAATGTTTTCTACCCTCTGTTTTAGTGACAACTATACAGTTGACCTGTGCTAATGTTTTCTACCCTGTGTTTTAGTGAAAACTATACATTTGACCTTTGCTAATGTTTTCTACCCTGTGTTTTAGTGACAACCGTACATTTGACCTTTACTAATATTTTCTACCCTGTGGTCAAATGTATAGTTGTCACTAAAACAGAGGGTAGAAAACATTAGCAAAGGTCAAATGTATAGTTGTCACTAAAACAGAGGGTAGAAAACATTAGCAAAGGTCAAATGTATAGTTGTCACTAAAACTTTGCTAATGTTTTCTACCCTCTGTTTTAGTGACAACTATACAGTTGACCTTAGCTAATGTTTTCTACCCTCTGTTTTAGTGACAACTATACATTTGACCTTTGCTAATGTTTTCTACCCTCTGTTTTAGTGACAACTATACATTTGACCTTAGCTAATGTTTTCTACCCTCTGTTTTAGTGACAACTATACAGTTGACCTTAGCTAATGTTTTCTACCCTCTGTTTTAGTGACAACTATACATTTGACCTTTGCTAATGTTTTCTACCCTCTGTTTTTGTGACAACTATACATTTGACTTTTGCTGTCATGTTTAAGAGTATTGGATAGATATATCACTACCTGGTTGGTTGTCTTCGTAATCCTGACGGCATTATGTTATATTTAATATTTCATAACATAAGGTTACCTGTGATGAAAGATGAGGGTTAGAGTAAGAATTTTTATTTTCTTTGGTAAAGCAAGAGATAGTGTGTAGCTAATAATTACAGTAGAATTGTCTAGGTGAATTAAAATGTTAAATACTAATTATTTTGTATGTTGGAAGGAATGTTTTTCTTTTTGATGTTTATAATTGGTGAAAGTGCAATTATAGAAAGTTTAATATCTTTTTAAATCACAGTTTAAGGTGAATTTACATTTTAACCAACTAACTTGTATATCAAAAAATTCATATTTTTAGGAACTTATTTCTGTGAAGTCTTATCAATAATTTGACTGATACAGAAAAAATAAGTGTTGGTAAACAGTACAGAATAACCACAATGGATATTCAGTTCTCAGCTTCAGTTCTCTACAAGAAATAATTATCAGTGTTCCACCTCCTTCAATTCAAACAAGAAAAGTGTGTTTATTAATTTAGTTAAAGCTTATCAAAATCAGTTGTTTTTGTACTTGTTATACTTCCCACTTTTAAATCATAGTTATATTTACTATTAAGTCCAGTTTATGATACTATTAGTTCTTCAGGATATAATTTTTTGAGTCAGTTATTTTATCTTGAAAACAGATTGAACCTTTGAAAACTGTAGTTGAATCTTAATAAAAGAGTAATTTTATTCACTTTATTTCTTCCATTGATCTGTTATTAAATAACTGGCGTTTTAAACATTAACATGTAAAAACAGAGTCATGTTAATTACCTGTAAACATCTGGTGTTCTTTTAGGTAAGCAACATCACAATGCTATCAGATGTGTGATTTCAATGTTTCCATAGTTTGGTTCTGTATTATGTGAGGGTGATCACATATTACAGCAGGTATGACAAATTTCCTGCCATAGTTTGGTTCTGTGTTGTATAAGGATGACCAGTAGGTACCACAAACTTGTTGCCATAGTTTGGTTCTGTGTTGTATAAGGATGACTAGTAGGTACCACAAACTTGTTGCCACAGTTTGGTTCTGTGTTGTGTAAGGATGACTAGTAGGTACCACGAACTTGTTGCCACAGTTTGGTTCTGTGTTGTGTAAGGATGACCAGTAGGTACCACAAACTTGTTGCCACAGTTTGGTTGTTTTGTGCATCAACAGCTAGGTAACCGGCTCTACCATCATGCATCAACACCTAGGTAACCGGCTCTACCATCATGCATCAACGCCTAGGTAACCGGCTTTACCATCATGTATCAACAGCTTGGTAACAGCTCTAACATCATGCATCAACGCCTAGGTAACCGGCTGTACCATCATGTATCAACAGCTTGGTAACTGCTCTAACATCATGCATCAATGCCTAGGTAACCGGCTATACCATCATGTATCAACAGCTTGGTAACTGCTCTAACATCATGCATCAACGCCTAGGTAACCGGCTGTACCATCATGTATCAACAGCTTGGTAACTGCTCTAACATCATGCATCATCAAAACTTAACTCCCTAGCTTTGTTAGTGTTGAAACATCATGTGTCAACATTTAGATAGCTAATTTCACACTAAAACCTAACAACATACCTACCACCATCACACTAGTTCTTAATGATGCACCCATCATCTTCACATTAATACCGAACAACACACAATCACATTCACACTAGTACCAAATGACACATCCACAACCATCACACTAGTTCTGAACGACACACCCACCACCATCACACTAGTACCAAACAACACACCCACCACATCACACTAGTTCTGAACGACACACCCACCACCATCACACTAGTACCGAACGACACACCCACAACCATCAGATTAATCCCGCACGACACACCCATCACCTTCGCACTAGTACCGAACGACACACCCATCACCTTCACATTAATACCGAACGACACACTCATCACCTTCACACTAGTACTGAACGACACACAATCACCTTCACATTAATAACGAACGACACACCCACCACCTTCGCACTAGTACCGAACGATACACAATCACCTTCACACTAGTACCAAACAACACACCCATCACCTTCGCACTAGTTCTGAACAACACACCCATCACCTTCACACAAGTACCGAACGACACACAATCACCTTCACACTAGTACCGAACGATACACAATCACCTTCACACTAGTACCGAACGATACACAATCACCTTATCGAACCAAAGCAAGTTTCTAGATTTTACATTTAATATTTACATTTTTATTAAATTCAAAATTCTCTATTTCACGGTAACAAAACCTCTACTAACCTACTTATTTAATCCTATATACAGGAGATATATTTTCTCTATTTCACGGTAACAAAACCTCTACTAACCTACTCATTTAAAATATATCTCCTGTATATAGGATTCTCTGTTTCACGGTAACAAAACCTCTACTAACCTACTCATTTAAAATATTTCCTTTGGACCACTCCTTTAATACAGCCATATAGTAACTTAAACACGTCTTATCACAAATGTCGGGTAATATTTACAGTTTTCAGTATGGTATTTACCCACGACTTGTGTAAGTAATGTTTTTACATCTTGGAGTACTTGTTCTTTTCTACAGTTATCTGTAACTATACACACAAATAACATGGTACTATAAACAAATGTCAGATGAACATTCAAAACGTAAACTAAATTGTAATTATTATTTAGAAGGTGGTTTTCTCACATTCCGACATGTTTTTAACACATTAGAAAAGTCAAACTGTGTAAGAATTTTTATATTATTCTTTATTATACTCTCTTATCAGATCAAACGTGTACTTTGACCTTCTGTAACTCAAAGTTTGGAACCAGTGTTATCCCCATTTTTATTATACATTTATCTTTCATCTCCCAAAATTTGACAGAATTATTTTGTCATATTTTAAAATTATGACATTTTTTACTATTTCGAAATTATGCAAGTTAAGTGACTATTCAACGTTATAAATTGTTGGGCTACAATATCATGTTAATATTGTATAATCAATGTTTAATATTAAGTGTTAACATGCTGTTATGCCAACTGAGAGTGTTGGATCATTCACGTGCATTCTAGAAGTTGACAGTTTTTTCAGGAGCCACTTGCTACAGTAGTTATGTGTTTTATATGAACAATATCAGATTCAAATATTTTATTAAATTAAATCCAAGTATTAGAACCACAGTTCTCATATTCATAGTTTTGCTGGTGTATTCCCTGGAGTATACAATGTACTGCACTTTTTTGTGTATTGCAAAATATAAAAATAATATTTTCTTTATATTTACATACTGCTTAACATGTTAAAATTTTGACCTCTGCTGATAAACGTGCCAGCTCTCTACATGAAAGCGTTGTTCGTTATCTTGGTTAGTTACGACCTTACAATACTTTGAGCGGAAAAACACGTCACATTCACCGAAGACATATTTCACTAATGTCCGCAGCCATTGTCGGTGGATTCAGTGTTGAAAAGGTTATATTTAATGTTTCCATTGAGAAAATTCGGACTTTGTGTCTGAACAGATATTGCAAACGACATCCCTAGAAAATGAATCGTGAACTGAAGACACAATGAAGGATTTAAAAAAATAACAATCTTTTTGTTGTGTTACACTAT